GATAGTTGATAGTGAAAAACAAACAATAAGGGTTATATATATAAAGATATACGAAAAACAATTTTGGTAATTAAAAAAACTAACCCAAATTCCCACATGCACATTATAGACATTATAAAGAATGTATAGAATTTATAACACAATCACGATATTTATAAAATAGTTATATTTTTCTCACATTTATATTATTTGCATTCAATCATTTATGTTAACAAAATATTTAAAATAATAATTAATATTAATATATTATTTGAATTTCAACATATTATTTAAATATAGTATTTCAATATTCCATGGATCTTGGTGTTAAGGTGTCATTTGGCAAGCCTTTTTAGAAAGATCTTCTAGTAGCCTGGATGGCCAAAAGACATATTGAGCTTTTGAGGTTTGTCTTTAAAAACAAAGACCATTTAGTAAACTTTTCGGTTTACCTAGCTTTTATAACTCTATTTGGAGGTTATATATATCTTGTATATAGACCAAAATGCTTCATTTAAAACTTCCCAAAATTTAGTGTTTTCAGTCTTTTCGGGTCTTTTCATATATGTGTCTTCTTTTATTTTTGAATTTTGATTTATAAATGGAAATGGCCAATTTTTTGTATTTCAAACTTATCAAATCCCAAAACACCATACAGAAAGACTTACCAAATGCCACCAAAGATTTATTAAGATCTTTTTAAAATGTAATTACAAAGGGATCGTTTGACAAGTCTTTTTTGAAAGATCTTCTGGAAGCTCTGACAATAAAAAGACGATGTGAGCTTTTGCATCAAGATCTTAACAACTTGAAAATTATTTGATTAAGGTGCGTCTATCTGCGTGTCTTTCTATGCAAAGATGAGTTGAAAAAATGGTGAAAAGCTCTATTTAGATCTTTCTGAAAATRGTCTGAAATGTGCCTTTTACATCTTTTTGGGGTTGTGGCTTTCGACGGTTAGATCTTTTCCCTACCAAACAAAAAAAGACTAAAACGCACACTACTAGGCTTCTAAAAAACTGATAAGCTACGTAAAAAGAAGTGCTAAATATGGCCAAAATTGAAGCTTAATGAATGTAGTGCTACCATTGACTTATAAGAGGTAAGTGTAGTTTTTATATAATTAGTAGTTATTAGTCATTACTTATTAGTTTTTTATAAATTTATAAATTATATAATATATTTTGATTATATGATACTAATACTTATTATTTCAAAATTCTAATAAGGTCAAATTATTCCGTGAGGCAATAAGAGGATTTAGAGATATTATAATACAAAGACCAAGAGACAAAATTGTCTAACAAAAATATAATATATTTTATAAATATTAGTCATTTAGTATTTAGTTTTTTATTTTAATGATATATGATACTAAATTTTTTTTCTTAGTTGAAAGATGATTGATGTATGGTCAATATGCCCTACATATTCGCAATACTGCAATTAAAGTATTATCACAAACTACTTCATCTATACTTTCGGCCTTATTCATACAATCATCTATCCCACGATGCTTAGAAAAGTTAGTATATGTCCATTATATTATAAGATTAAGGGTTAGACATCTTATTAGAGGTAAAAAGCATTCAAAAGATTATTTTGACTCAATTAATCTTGATAATATATATAATGATGATCCAATATTGTTGTAGTTGGAAAAAAAAAGAAAATGTAGCAAAGGTAATAGATTAGATGAATTAGGTGATCCACCCAGACTTCATGCATTTATTACTAAGGGTAAATGTTGATCAATGGATTAGAGAACAAGAGAAATAAAGAAAATATATAAATGGTGATAGTGGTGGTTGTAATGATGATGATGATAGAGGTAGTGGTGGTGGTCGTGAAGGTAATTGAGATGATAATACTAGCAGCAATCAAGGTGGTGGCAAAGAAATTGGATATAATCAATGTGATAATTTTTTAAATATCTACCACTTATGAATGATTCAATAACATTTAATAAAGATCAACACCGTTTTAGGTGTAGGGATTCATAATTAATGAGTAATTATGGTTATGGAAGACAAAATGAATAGAGCCAAGATTATTGTAGATATTGATATTAAATGATGTAAGGCATGAATAGCATAAATTTGAAATCATTTCTACATTATGATTATGGCTCTTTTCGATATAGATATGATATGAGTTACATGACTACCACTCATAGATCTAGCTTGTCTGCAATGGGTTATTGGTTTTTTTGTGATATAGGATATGATAATAGACAAAATGATGATTCATTTTTATAACACAAAATACATAACGATATAATTAAAATGATTATGTATCAAGTTATCAACTTCAAATTCATTATCAACAATGCACTTGAGAGTAATATGAAAACTTTAGACAAACATATGAGAATTCCTATTTTAGTAAAATGATTTATAATTAATATTATTGTTACACCAAAAGTCAATAAATTGTTGATATAAGTTATTTTGAATTTGTGCGTCAATCCGTATAGTATTGATAACCATCACTTCTGACTCTAGGTATATATCTTACCAAATAATTATAAGTTTTATAATTTTCATATTTTTGTATTTATTAATTATCTAATTTTAATAATTCTTATTTATATTATTAATAAATATAATCACTTTGTTACCGTTCACTAGTTCATTCACATTATGAAGGTAATCAAGGTATGTTTTATTCCAGCTTCATCATTTTGACATTCATATATGGAATTTGTAAAGTGTAATAAATTTAACATTTGGAGTTGAAAATTTAATAAACAAGTTTAATGGACAATATTTCAACCTATAGGTTTTTATAATATAGTTTTAACCTTATTAAATATTATGTTTTTGTTTTCGTATATTGATTATGACATTTTTTCATAAAAACCACTAGAACATATGATTTGTATGTATATGTAGCTCATTTAAGTCTTATATTTAGTATTATCGATGTTTATTTACGACTTATTGGAGTGTTAATAGGGTTCATGCGTATCTTCATTTTTTGTCTGTATCCATGCATAACTAAGGTATATCCTAATAAGTTTTTTAAGTTTATTTTTCCGATATGCTTAGAGTTTTTCAATACTTTGAACGTTGTCAAAAACAAAATCTTTTTCCTTAACTGAAATAAAGGCCCATTCCTCTTAAAAATGGGTGGCGACTCCTTTTTTTTAGCCGGCTATGAGCTTTTCAAAGCTCATAGATTGACATATTCATGGGCCTGGCTCGACTTTGGTTTTTGCCACAGTTTGAATGGACCCGACCCAAAGCTCAAACTCAATATAGTATAAAGTTAAGCCTAAAGCCCGACCCATGAATAAGTCTATTCGTAAAAGGTTTAGTAAAAATAAAGTTGGTTTTAATAAATATATAAAATTACAATGGATGCATTAGTAAATATGATGCCATAATAGTTGTGTCCCTCTTTTCCCTAAAGCCAAGATGGTAGAAGATTATAGACCAAGTAAGGTGTTGGTCTTGTACAAAACCAAATTTTTTTTCCACTTTGAACAATGATACCTCAAATCCAAGCAATCTACATAAGATCATCTTTATTGTCCATTATCCAAGTAAAGGGTTTGTCTTGTATAAGATCTTATTGATTTTCCCTAGATATATTGTGGTGGCAAGACTACAAGAGACTGCCTCAAATCCAAGCAATCCACATAAGATCCTTATGCCTTTACATTATGCTGCTCCCATCAATGGTGCAAAGTGTCAAATCTACTATTTAATGATCCATTTGATAATTACTAAAGTTATTGAACTAAAAGATTTATTACTTTTGTCTTTTAACTATTAAAAAATTAAATAATATTTTTTAAAGGTATAGTGGTCTATCCAATTTTAGTTTCATCCATTAAGAGCCCACAACTGCCTTAAAATCTTATTCATTAAATGATAGATTAATAAGCTTTTCAATTCAATATATCCAACTATTATTAAACAACCTCTAAATCTTCAGTTTGTTCATCTGGTGTAACAATCTAAGCCCATAACCAAGTGGTTGCCTTATCATTGCCATGCACCTACCAAATCTCAACCAGATGCCTATGGAACTGGCAATAACTATCCCACTCATCTTCTAGTTGTTAATAGTTATGACCTATGTTATTTGTTTGTATGGATGGATTCCCTTTCTTCCTATATTTCTCTATAGTTGTGATAAATTTTTTTGGTAGGTGAAAAAAAAAATAAATTAAAAGAAAACTTACACTTCCTCCTAAGGCTCTGTTTGGAAGGAGTACACATGCAAACATGTAGAGCGTAAAACCTTGCATTTTGTATTATTTTGTATATATTTTTACTATACATATTTGTATTTGTAGTCCTTATATATATATGTATATATAATAAAAATATTATAGATGTAAAAAATAATAAATAAAAATAAAAATATTATATATAATACTTTTATTTTTGTATTTATAATAATAACTAGCTTTTATAATTCATAATTTTTATATGTATAATTTTTTTTATAGGAAGCTTGGCTCATAATTGAGCTTTAGTCAAGTTAAGCTCGAACTTACAAGTTTTTTAGTCAAGTTGAATTTGAGCTCAAGTTTCTAGCTCGAGCCCTTGTAGTGTTTTGGCGAGCTAAGCTCAAATAACTAGACATTCAACTCAACTCGATTCGAGTCCACCCCTACTAAGGGTTGCAACTTGGGTGGGCTCAAGTTGGGGTTTTATCAAAATTCGAATGGGTATGGCCCAAAGGCCAGAGCTCAAAGTAGTGTAAAAGGCTAACCAAGGCCAACCCAAATTTTACCCCTACATATATTACATTCTCATCAAGTGGTTGAATGAACTAGCATTCTCATAATGGTTAATCAATGTTTGTACATTGTCTTCCAACTAATTTACTACAATCATCAACTTCTTGTTACAAAGTAAGGTTGGCATCTAAAACATAGAAAACCTTTTTTTTACTAGATTTGATATTTGAAAACAAAATATTTTGCTTTTCTCCTTGTTCAAAGCTTTTGTAATATTAAGGCCATATTCGTTTTCCGTGAAGTGAAAGGGGAAAGGTTGGTTAATGGGATTCACAATCCCAATAATCCCATTCACCAATTTACCTATGTTTGGATTTCACAATTTTGTGGAATCCATAGTAATTTTGATTTACCCGGGTATCACTTCCCTGGTAAATGATACCCTTCAGAGACTCGGGTAAGTTGATTTCCCGAGTGGAGGGTAAGCACATAAAAATAGGAAATCTCAATCCCCACAAGATATAAAAGTTCGAGACTCTGCTTCTCTGAAAAATCATGTCTGTGTTTCCCTCCTTCACTTCGTTCTACTTCTCCGAAAATCAGCTCTGCATTTCTCCTCCACTCCTTTCTTCTTCTCTGCCATTGATTCTTTCAGGTAGAGAATGCGGAGTTCTGCTTTTCTGCCATCGCTGCTCCGTATCTCTGGTATCTCTGAGTTCTGCCCATCGTTGCTACTGCTGCATCAAGTCATCGCAAATGCTGAAGAGTTGTCGTCGCCGTCCTCCCTCTGTTGCCGGCACCAATGATCATCCCATTTTCTGTTGTCGCTCCGCCTGGTTGCCATCGCTGGTCATTCTTTCCTCCATTTAAACAGTAAGAATCACTATTTCTCTGTATCTTATTTTTTTCATCTTATTCAAAAAATGTTGCTTCTCATCTTATTGTTTCTCTTTTATTATTATTTTATTGATTTCCTTTTTTTTTATTTTGATTTTTTGTTTCCATATTTCTTGGATCTGGTATTTTGGTTTTTTTAGGTCAACTGTGATACCTAGAGTTTTCAAAATCAGAACAAAGAAACAATTCTTGTTGTATAAGATCTACTCGATGAATCACTGTAAGTATTTGATTAATTTTGAATTTCTAGATAACATTCTCTTGTTTTCTATTTCATGAATTCTGCTTCCAATTCTGATGGCTTCTTCATTCATTATTCAGTATCTTCTAATGGATTTTGATTTCCACACTGTAGTTTGATTTTGGTTTTCTGCATCCAAAAAACCAAACCAGGATTTTTGTTTTTCATATAATTTTCTTACGAAAAATGGTGTAGATATTGCTGTAATATTTTACCAAGAATGGCTAGGTGTATTTTAGATTTATTTGAAGAGAGTGCATGAGAGATACCTCTGAAGTTTGACTCAGAATCCTCAGTAAACTTAGTGTGAACTTGCTCTTCTTGTTGAATCCATGCTTGTGAACTTCTATTATATATGATACAAAATATTATTTGTTATTCTAAAACAACAAAATATAATTTTTTTATAGCATATTAAAATATATTGTAAGTGTAGTATAATAAAATTTTCCTTAATTTTGGAGTTTGAGGATAATCTTGAAAGGTAATCCTTTTGGAATAAGGTGGGTGAGGGATGTTAATAYAGCCTTTTTTGAAAAACGGTTTTAGAGGTTTAGAGACCAGCAAGGAGGGTGATTCAAGACAAGCATGGATCCAAGAATGGGGGATGGGACCCTGTGGAGTCAAACCAATTACCAAACATATGGATTCTTGGTCTAGAAGGGAAAAGAAAAGGCCTATAGCAAGTTCACTAAAGGCCCGAGGTTTGATGTAGGAAATGATCGATAAGTGAATTACTGGAAGGATGTATGGTGCAAGAGACCTTTAATGGAATCATTTCCTTCTTTATATCTTTTCCCAAAAAATAGATTCCTTTTATTTATGATTTAGTTGTGGACAAGGTATATGTGGCTAATTGTATGGAAGTACAGAATGGTAATGTTGTATGGACTCCTCAATTTTGCAGAAACCTAAATGATTGGGAAGTAAGGCCCATGTGGAGTGGTTGTATGGCTTGCAGGGAGAAACCAGGTAAGTTTGCTGTCAATCATTTCTCAACTATTTGGCAAGGTTATATGAACAACAATTCCCTATCAGCCAAGTATGGTGCAAGGACCTCCTATCCAAGGTGGCTTTTTTTTGTTTGGAGAGCATGTTTATTTGAATAGAACCCTTACCAAAGACAACCTGGTGAGGAGAGGATTGACTATGGCAAGTACAGATTGTGTCCTGTGTGATCATTGTATGGAATCAGTAGACCACTTGCTTCTAAATTGTAGCTTTTCAAGTTCCATTTGGATCAGAATTTTTGGCTTGTTTGTGATTAAGGATGCTGGATGGCCACTGTGGTGGAATCCTTAAAGAGTTGGCGGTTGGAAGGCCCAAGAAAAAAAGGAAAATTTGCTTGGAGCACTGCTCCTTCGGCTGTGTTTTGGATGTTATGGCAGGAGAGAAATGCATGGGTCTTGCAAAACAAGAGCAGCTTAGCAGACTTTGTTTCTCAAAAGATGATGCAAGAATTACACTCTTGGTTCGATATTCACAAAATTTTCAAGGGAAGGAGTACTTATAATCCTTTTTTGTATTTTATAATCTTCTTGTAAACAGTCAGTGAATTTCTTTATAGGGCTGCAAGAGTAGTTTTTTGTATATTCCTAGTGTACAGTCTCTAGTTGTACAGGGGCATAATTTTAATGAAATGAACTATACTTCACCTTTTCTCAAAGAAGAGAAATATGTGACCCTTCTACCTTTCATTTGATTAAGACTCTTCTCATAGGGCAAACACAATGGCTATTTGGAATTGCATGGTAAAAGTTCCATATTTAATGGATATTCCCTTGGAAACCCAGGACCTCTGAGAACATCAATGGTGTGTACTAACTCAGAACTAGTTGGCCTATAGGATTATGCAAGATCTGAATTCTTATTATTTATATAACTAGATATCTCCATGGGATATCAAGTATAGATACTAAGCCAAATTTATAGATTTCGATGGAATAGATAAGAGACAGTGATATATTTGAATGGAACTTGGGACATTTTGTTGCCACATTTGAGAGGCTAGATCTTTGATATTCAGATTCAACCTCTATGTTCATTAGTTATTAGATCAGCCAGAGTCCAGACTCCAGAGAGGGGAGTTTCAACTATTGAGATTCTTTCTGATATATCTGTACAAACTGAACACAGATTTTTATTTTTACTTCTTTTATTTTGTACAGGGGGGCTGAGTAACTTGAGCATGGCAAGGACACAATTTGACAAGATTTCAGGCATAAAACATACACTAAAGTTGGAATTGTCTGCCACAATTTGATGCCCATGCACTGTTATATAGCTATCATAGATAAGGAGTTTAATTGAGGTTATGGGCATCTAAATTCTAATTTTTTTGGTGAAGCTTGGACCTTTGTAATGGCAACTTACTTACATTTGCTTTCAGATTTATAGTAGCTCCATATTCTAAGTATTTTTGTAGTGAGTTTTGGGGCTTTCTAATAGCATTTAACTTGCATATTCTGGCATCAATGCAATACATTTACAATCACTAGCAAGAAAAGGGAAGAACATGTCAGAAGATCAAATCCAATGTAGTAATTCTTTCTTCAAACAAACATCAAAAGATATTCCCTAAAGTTACTTTGGAGGAAAAAAGTCAAGAACTAGATTCCTTCAACTTTGTGCATATTATTCTGAGAATAGTTGTTAATCTCTACATCCTAATGCTATTGGATGCATCTAAGGTCTTTAAGTAGGGGATGAGTTATGTCATAATCATACAAGTAGAACCACTGACACATCAACATTTTAAAGAACCTGATCCATCAGTGAACTGCAAGCATAACTGATTTGGTCCAACCTTGTTTGATCGGGTTCTGATCCTACACAAAAGCAGTGAAGTGTCACCTAAACAGGTTGAAATTTAAAGGGAAAATACTTTTCCTTGAACTGCAACTGTACCAGATAATTTGTCTAATGTAGGGTTAGAGCCAGAGTCAGACTGGGTGGTCTGTGGGTTCTATTATATTTTCATATCAACTTGATTGCATGGTCAAATTGAACCAGTAGCGTATCAAGGCCATGTTCAATATTGATCAACTCTCCATCTCAGTCCAAGCACAGAGCATAATCTGGAAACTCAACCAGTAGCGTATATATATATATATTTTTTTTTCTGTTTGAACCATTAGTAATATATGTGAAGATTCAACAAGAACTAGATTTTTTTATCAATAACAAGAAGTAGATTTTCTTTCTTTCTTTCTTTTTTTATGGCTATAATGTGATTTCTATTCCTAAAAGGTTGTGTTTGGTTGCAATGCGAATAAATTTGCACTGATGCAAAATCATGGCAGTGCAAATGATTTGAGTGTAAATTCTAACCTATTTTTGTTTCAAATTTTAGCTTATTTTGTTTGATTGCAGTACAAATGAAGTAAATTCGTTTCCACAAGTAAAGAATAATCTTGCAGCTTTGCTGGCTTTATGTTGGTATTGGGCTTCTGATGGAGTGGGATCAAAGGTTTGCATTCCTTTTTATTACATGCTTATTTCCTCTATTACTTGCATTGCAACTGATGTCTCCTGTATTTCACAGTTTTTGGTTCTTCTGGAAATGGGAGCTACCCTCTTCGTGGACATTATCATATGTGGAATTGCTCCAACTCATATCAGCCTCATCTTCCAATAAATATGATGTGGCCAAACTCCCCATCATTTGTCAATGACATGCATAATAATCCCCTATGCAACTGCATGGACTTTCTAGAGCACCATCTCATATGCTGAACATAGTTCTACCAATACATCACCATGTTGGATCAGCACCAGCTGTAGAAGCTTGACGAAGAACGTGGCTATAGTCTTCAATTGCCTTCATTTTGAAAATCTAAACAATAAACTAAAATTGGATCAGCACCATGCATAATAATCACCAATGTAGAAGCTTGATGAAGAACGTGGCTATAGTCTTCAATTGCAGTAAGGATCCAACAACTAGTTAATGCAATAGACAAACTAGTGAACTTGGCAGGTTTCAAGCTAGCAGAAAGTGAGAATTCCAMTCAGAGCCAACCCACCAAGGAACCTACTTCAGAATTCCAAAATCATGAAGCCCTAAAGGTTCTTCAACAGGTCTAGGTTCTAAATGGTTAACTTGGCAGGGGTCTACCATGGGTACCAACGCAAGAGGAGATTGTATCTTCTGAGAGAAGAAGAAGAAAGAAGAAACAGAGAAAAAAAATAAACCCTGAAATCTAAGTATTGACAAGTAWTTTATATGAGACCATAAACAAAAAAAGAATGTATACGAATTATTTCTCAATTGATTGATTCAGTATAACAAAGAAAAACTTTCTTCAGTTTATTGATATTTCTTGTTTTAGGTTATTGAACAAGTTATTGTTTGGATAGGTTATTGATGCAACCGTTTCTGGTCACATACCAATTTTTTGTGATGTATCAATTTTTTCTTTGGCTAAGTACCTTGTCATTTGACTTGCTCCCAAGAGAGGATGGTGGAGCTCCCTGGTGGTGAACTGCCTGGAGGAGAGCTGTGCCAAGCTGCCCGAGTTATGCCGAGTTGGGGAGAGCTATGCCGAGCTCCCTGGTGGTGAGCTACCTTGGTGGACTCGTCATTTGACTTGCTCCTAGACGGCCTGTAACTCAAAGGATGGTGGAGCTCCCTGGTGTAGCGCAACCCGACTGCCCTCTGCATGAGGTGATCTCCTCTCTTTTGTAGGCGGCGAGAGCTGAGAGACCTGCGAGAATTCCATCTTTTCCTCCTCTTTGTAGGCGGCAGGAGCTGAGGAACCTGCGAGAACTGTATCAGAGGACCCGAGGGTATTTACTTGGCGGGGACTCTCCGATGCTTAAGTTAGCATTCTGATTGTAGAGAGCTTGAAGAGAAATAAGAGAGCTAGAGAGCAAGGATTACCTCCATTTTTCCATTCTCCCCCCTTTTGTCTTTGGGGGTCGGAGTCCTTATATAGCGGTGTCCTGTCAAATTTGGTGTAACCACCTCTGTCTATTTGCCGCAGTCGTTACTGCTAGAGCTGAGGTGGCGGGTGTAGGCAGTTGTTGCAGAGTACGGCTCTGCCAGGCAAGGGACAGCTCTTAGGCCTGACAGGCATGGCGCCGCCTGGCGAGAGACGTGGGCGCAGGTCTCCAGATTTGTCAGGTACGGTTGTCAGGCAGTAGATCTTCCTGTGATATGCCGAACTGCTCTTCCGCGAGCTACCCTGCAAGTGGCGAGCTGCCTGGGGGAGAGCTATGCCGAGCTGCTTGTGGCAAGCTCTGTTGAGCTGCCTGTGGCGAGCCATGCAAAGCTATCTGTAAGTGGCAAGCTGTGGCAAGCTCTGTCGAGCTGCCCGAACTGCCCAGTTGTCAAGAGGCTGCACTTGGTTTGCATGAGGTGCCAGGTGTCACAATTTCACTAGAGGACCAAATCCGCCCTCATTAGTTATAGTTAAACAAGTTATTGAACTTGTTACTTGGACAGATTATAGTTGAACAGGTTATTCAACCTATTATTTGGACAGGTTATGTTTTAATGAGACAAAATGTCCAAAAAACATGGATTTGGGACAAGGGGTAAAATTGGAAAGAGACAAAAAAATAGCAATTTACCCAAGAAAGTGGGTGTTACAAAAGAACATGGGAAAATAAGGGATTTTATTTACCTGGATAAATCAAACAAAAAAATAACATGGGTAAATGTGTTTCCAAAAAAAGAACATGGCCTAAAAAAGAAAATATAGGATTTTAGTCATTATGAGTCATTTAAAACACATGAAAATGTTGTATATCCATGGATCACCTATTACTGAGTTAGACCTATTATCATTTTTCAAAGGTATAATTTAGACCCTAACAACCTTACACAGAAAAAGATTCAACCCATGAAAACAAGTTCTTTAGAGATCATGCCTTGTTTTGTCGTTATTAAACTCTACCTAAAATTTAATTTGCACTAAAGTTTATTGACATTATGAATAACAATTTAGTATCCATTTTGTAACAATTCATTGCCAAACATTAAGGATCAATTCAAACCAATTAGTTATGGATATATGGTAGATTTTTTTTGTCGATCCCCTATTTTCCTATCTTGCCAAAGCTAGATGGATTGGATTTAAAGGATATGGGTACTGATTTACTATGTTATTAGTATGGATAGAAATTTCTACCCTACTAGGTTGGTAGACATCCCTATATGCCTCACTAGGGCGGTTTTTTTTTTCTTTTCTTACAACCTTTACCAGTATAGGTGTTGGAAGGCATATAAACTTATGTGTTATGTGTTGAATTTAATATTTTTTTTTGAATTTTATATGGAGGATAATTGATAGTTTGTGTATTTTCTATATGTTTTAATCGAACAATCAAACATTTTGATGTTTGTTCGTGCTATTTAACTTGTTTATTTCTTATATATAATATGAAAATTAGATGGGGGTTCTAGACCCAACCTGCCAACCTGACCCACCCCACCCTCAAATGTGGGTAAGGTTTTGGCATTTTTCATGTGTAGGGGAAGGTTTATATTTTGTAAATGCAATCTTCTATGTGTTTTGGGGAGGGAACGGGTTGGGAGGTCTAGGGAGGAGGGGTAGGGGTGGATTCGAGTTGAGTCGAGGCGAATAGTACCTGGCTCGAGCTCGGTTCGAGCCAAAACCTTGAGATCGAGCTCAGCTCGAGTCAAAAGTTCATAAGCTTGAGATCGGCTCAGCTCGGCTCATTTTATATTTTATAAAAATATATATTATAAAGTTTATAAATATTTTATTATAAAAATAAAAATTATATATATATAAATTTATTTTATATTTAAAAATTAAGAATTATAATATTTTTATTATATATTATTTTCTATAATTTTATTATATATTATATACATTCGAGTTGGCTCTCGAGCCGATCTCTAGTAAGCTTGAGCTCGACTCGTTTATTAATCAAGCCACTGAATTGGGCTCGAGCTCGAGCTCGACTCGGCTAAAACCGAGCCGAGCCGAGCTCAAGCAGCTCATGAAAAGCTATGCTCGTTGCCACCCCAGGGAGGGGGATAGGATTTAGAATTTACAAAACCCTCCTTGAACCTACTCCGTTGCTATTCCTAATTATTAGCAAGTCCTATAAAAATAAAATAAATATAAATAAAATTAGGGTTTCATATTAAAATCCACCCCATTCAAATTTTCTCTCTCTAGCCCAATTTTGTTACTCATCACACTACGTGTAAAAAGGCTAATAATCATGAGTGAATATCCCAATGTTCCATGCACATGAATATGGAACATAATTATGTAGCACACAATGTGGCAAGCAACAAATCCCAAGTGCTCTCTCTCTCTCTTTGTGGTGTGTCACAATAGTCTAATCAAATTGGGAATTTAGGAGTGGGGGCAAAGCAAGATTCATACTAGCTTTGAGAGTTTGTAGTCCCATGCTTTCCTTGTTGGAGTGATGCTAAGTGACTATCTCAACCACTAGGTTATGGAAATGAATTGTTTAACTTAAATCTTGGGTTTTGAAGAGGTATACTTGAATCAATTTTATTGGACACTGTATACGTTCAAAGTCCAATTATTTTGTATATTATGTTTATTTATGAATAATGTTGGTTTCTTATATATTTTATATGTATCAATGGGTGTTTTTCTATATAATAATCTTGACTTACATTTTAAGATTATGATCTTTGATCTAAGACATCTATAATCGGTTTGTGATCCAAATGTTCCCAATTGGTGGATTAACCTAGGTAGTTTATATTGTTAAAATTGGCAAACTCAAGTTGTTTTATGCACATGAGCAATTTAACTCGACTAATAGGATCATACCCAAAGCATCATAGCGGGCATTTATAAAATGCTACACTAGACCACTTCTAGCAGATCGTTGGATTTTATGATAAGATAAACTTAACATTGGTACTACGTTAGATATTTGATGTATCTATTTCTGATATGCAGCTAGTGAGATCCTTGTAGGGTCAATACTTTGGTATATTTGTGCAGTTATTAACGCATTGTGACAAGCGATCATTGTGATGGGATTTGCCCGGAGAATCTCCTTGTAAATGTTTTACCTCATGGATACCTAAATATGACGGTAGTAGATTTTATTTAGTTTGAAGTCATTGAATTCATGGGAACCATCATGGTAAGAAAAATGACAGTGTCTCTTTATGCAAGTAGGGAAGAAGTTTTTCCCTTTATTCTCAATGTTGAGCTTTAGTGGGGTTTGTTTTTTGGATTTTGGCAAGGGGGGAAGTTGATCAATGGGATTTTGGTTCCCATTGACCAATAAATCCATGTTTTCTTTTTTTTTTCAGATTTATGTGGGGATTAAGGAAAATTTATTTTTCCGATTCTAGGTGGATAAATAATTTTCCCACCTATGAGAAAGTTGTCAACACTTGAATTGAACAAAAATGCCCCTTTTAATAATTGATTTTTATGAATAAAATTATCAATGTCTTATTTACTTGGGATATAAAAGAACATGGGTAAATGCACTTAACCTCAATACTAGAAGAAGGATTGTATTGTAAATTTGTAAGTGATTGTTAGGCCCCTTTTACCTGATGAATACTATATTCACTTATGGCCAACGGGTTTAAGCTTTGAGGGTAGCAAAGCCTAGACATAAAATGTAAAGCACATTGGGCCCAATGGTAACCCAATAATCATGGGCGGTTTCTCCTTTGGATCTAAGTGAGAATCAGCCATGTGGGTCCCACACTTGTTGGGATTAGTTCCTAATTAGTTGGTGGTCATTTATTTTGGGTTTAGGTGGACTAGTAGGGGTTCCACACCATATAACCTTGAGGTTGGCTTCAGTCATTGTAAAGCCAGTTCAAATACCGTTAGAACAGCCTTTTACAGCCTTGCACTGACTGAAGCCGAGTTCACAAACCTTAGTCTTCCTTGTTATTCTTTGAGTTTAAGAAGGATTAGAAGGCTAGTTTATTGGATGTCAAAGTCCTAGTTAGAGTATGACTTATCCTACCTAACTATGGACAGTTTTATTAGGAAAGTTAGTGTATGGGTAACCAAATTTGATTGGGAATGTTCTAGGGTTTTCTTATTCCTAATAAAAGCAAAAATAAGTTAGTACAACCAACCATAGAAACTTCATCATCAGGGTTTTGTAAAGAAGTTGTGAAAACCAACCTACTAGTGACTTCTATTCAATGTGAACAGTTGGGATTTTTGAAGCAACAATATAGCAGCCAAGACCCAAGAACAAAGTATTAGATACCTTAGGAGGCATGAAAGTTGGTAGTACACTCATCATTTGCATCAGAAATTCCATTGGAGGTACAAGAACACAGATTGACCACTTACATGATCTTGTCGGATTGTTAGGAGACACAAAAGCTTGGGTGTAAATACCATAGTGATGAATTGCACTTGTGGTTGTCTCTCTCCTTTAGGTTACAGTTATTCTTGTGGTTGATCCCATTGATGTGGAATGGTTTCTGATATTGTATAATGAAAGTTGAAAGAGTTGCTAACATGGAATTTGTGAATTGTGACCGATGGCTTGTTTGGATGACATATGGCAATTTCTTTCATTATTAGAATATAATTTGTTTATAATGTCATTTACAACTTTTGATTAACAGTTAATTTCATGATTTTGGTGGCTTTCAGAAAAAAAAAATAATAATAAGAGTCCTGATTTTATTAGGAGCATATTGAGGTTCTCTCAGAGGAAGAAGGGGGGTTTAACTTAACTCCAATTAGCCAATCTAACCATTGTTGATCAAACCCCAAAAACATTTATTATTTGATTTTCATGTTTTCTTTTATCTGTCTGATCAGAGCCCACAGTGGTGTTTGGAAGTATTGGGTCAAACTTGAGTTCTGAAAAATTGGTTGTTTCAGATGTCAACATTTGTCCAATTCTAACACTTGAATACGCCTTTGAATCTTTAAAAAAACCTCTTAAAATTTCAATTTTAAAGATGACTTTACCCTCTGAACACTTCAACGCCGATTCAAGTGGTTATTTCTTATTTGGACAATAAAGCTATTGGACAACTTTGCCATTTAACTATGAAACTTCCACCAATAGAATATACTAATATGATTAATTAAAGTAAGTTGCTTGGGCTTCCCCTATGCTTAATTTCTGCCAAAAGCCAAACGCTTTGACGACAATGAAATTACTATTATGCCCTTAATATATTTTCAAACACGAAAGTGAATTTTATATACCAACTTTGCCCTTTGATTTGTACTAGAGAAACAAACCCAACCCCACCTACCACTCTATACTAGTCTATCTGTTGCTGTTTGTTTAAAAGGCCAACTTTGTAATGAAAACGTGTAAGAGCCTTTTAGGGTATTTTGATCGATGGACATTCTAATATTTTTTATCCATGGGTAAATTGGGCATTTTGACGTGTTCATAAAGCATGACATCATCTTTTTAGTAGCTTCTTATCATCAAACTAATGAAAAGGGTCCATCTCTAGAATTTATCGAAAATGTTGATGGAAAATTTTAAAAAGGTCAAAATACAGGAACTTGTTAAAAAATTTAGACGAGGTTTAAATAATTTTATTTTACAATATAATATAAATATCAGTTGGGATAAGACTTGGATGATGATGATATAAATTTTATATGCATCATGCCATTATACACAAAATATAGCATAAAACCTTAAAATGCTTATAATTTTACAAATTTCTTATTTGATTTTATGGTATATATTCAAGGAGAAAACTATAAAATAGACATATTTGATCAAGTGTACAAACAACTTCATTACACCAAGAATTGAAAGAAAATAAAATAATTAACTTTTCATAATGATTTTTATTTTGCTTTTTACTACCAGATAATTATTTTTCCACTCAGCAATTGGTGGGGTGGGTAGTAGACCTAGGTCTATTTGGCGTGTCTTTCCGTGTGGTCTTTTGGTTGTTTACAAGCTGGACAGACTGTGTTATTGTCTTTTTTCGTTTGGTTTGTAACTGATCTAACTACTAAAAGTCAGTGCATCGAAAGGACGTGAGAAGCCCATTTTAGATTAATTTCGGAAAGTTTCAAATGGAACTTTTTGCGTCTTTCTCGCTTTATTCTCATGTAGAAAGACATGGAAAGATGTACAGAAAAACACATAATAATAAAACTAGCTTTGCATTGTTCAGATCTTCATGTAAAAACTCAATGTGTTTTTTAACTATCAGAACTACCAAAAGATCTTCTCAAAAAGACTTGTCAAACAATGTCCTAGTCTATTAGGACCCGTTTCAGAGGGCTGAAGCTTTTATTGAATTGTTTTCACTGAACTATTTCAGAAAAACTGCTAAAAACTTCAATTGAAAACTTTTTATTTTATTTTATTTTTTGGGGGGCGGAGGGAGCAATGGGCTGGCTTTCTAGATTTTCACTCAACATAGCTTAGGCTGTCCATTTGGGGCCTTCCCACAAAGGCAGAAGTGGTGATGGCAATCTAACCCACCCCTGTGAGGCAGTTTTCCGTTTTTTTTTTCAACTGTTGACTGAGGTCGGGGCGGGTTTTGGGAAAACTTGAAACTCAAGTCTTGTGGGACGGGGTAGGGTGGTACACCTCAACCTTACTTTGATTAAAACACCATATATTATTATTATTATTATTATTATTATTATTATTATTATTATTATTATTATTATTATTGTTGTTGTTGTTGAGAATGGATATATCAAAAATTATTTGAAATCAAATCACCAACGAACCCATTAAGACATACTTGATGAAGTTTAAGAAAGCCAAGGGCATGTATAATTAGGGTGGGAACAGGGCAAATTAGATTCCTATTCCTCCAGGATGGGGATTACGGGTGCAACTTTTATAGGTTAGGGTAAATTTTGTCAAAATTTCAATGACCTAATTTGAAACCCAAGCCCAACATAGTGTAAACTACTAGCTTGGCCCAATCCGACTTGCAGCCTTAATTTATAGCTACGATAGGATACAGATTGGCTATGGGGGCGAGGTGCATGTGTTTGGGGTTGGGGATGGGATATAAAAAAAATCGGGCCTCGCTTCGCCCTAGGTGTAAACGGATTGAATTTGAATTAGATTAGGTGATATCCGAAATTGAATCTGATTAACAAATCCGATATCTAAATTTGATTCGATATCTGACGGATATTGAAAATTAATATCCGAATTTGAATCCAATTAAATATTCGAATATTCAATTTGATTCGAATTCAATTAATTAATTATTTTAGATTATTAATGAATATATAAAATAAATATTTTATTGATATAAAGTATATAAATATATAAATTATTTATATAACTTAATTATTATATATAAATTATATAAAATATTTTATATATTATATATAAGAATTAAATAATCGATCAAATTTGGATATTTATCGAATCGAATCGAATCGAATCAGGTCATATCCGAATTTGAATATGATTAACTATTCAGTAAGAATGGGATATCCGAATTCGATCGATTAGATATTCAAATTATTCAAATTTGATTCGATTATATCGAATATCGAATTCAAAATCAAATTTTCGAATACCATTGATACCCCTACCTCACCCCGTTGCCATTCCTTGCCAAGTGGCTATAAGCTACTGAGTGAGATTGAAACTGAAAATCCTCCCAAACGGGCACCTAAAATAAAAGTTGAGGCGTTGAGCTTCAAGTTGGCCTGCTTCAGACTGGCCCCTGGCCCAGTTCGGGAACATAGAATTTCATTAATGTTTGGGCTGGGCCTGAGCCTGCTTCAGACTGGTCTAGTTCCGCCCGATTCTCACCCCCCACCGTCAGTCAGTCACGAAAGTCTAATTTGGCGGTTTCTATAAATAGTAGGGGTATAATGGTAGATGCAGAAGACTACTTTATCCATGCCCGTCCCTTTCGTGCTCTATTCCTTTTGGTCGGGCTGACTCCGGTAAAAACCATTGTAACCAGATCCCGCTACTCCCTCCATCGATATCCACCTCTCCTTTTCCACCAACAAAAAATCAAAAAATCAAAAAAAGTGAGAAAAATCATTGGTTCCAACTCGTACGGTTCCCGTCGATTTCCCGGTTCCGACCAGTCTCCGATGCAGATCAGATCCTGATTAAGGCTTCAGCACCGGAGACGAGAAGCTTTGCAATTTCTGCTACAAAAGGTCAGAAACCCTTGGGGGTCTCTTTCGTTCTGCATCGTTGACATCAAGTTAATCTCATATGAACTTTATTTTGCAATTCTAGGGTGTTGATCTTCATGTATCTGTTTGATTCTGTGAAGGAAGAAGATCAAGAATTGAGTGTTTGATTTGTGTTTCAAGTGATTGGAAAGGCTTAGGTTGGAGTCAACACTCGAACATCGATCTGATTTTTGTTTGATGGAGTGGTTGTAATTCTAGGATTTCGAGGTTTATTGATGCATATTTGGCTCTGCCTCTGGTTGTGTTTTAGATTCTCATTCGTTAACTGCGTAGCAAGATAGACTTCTTTTTCTGTGCATGAGGGTTTCTTTCTGATTGGTACTTAATAATTCTACACTCAGGAGTTTGATTTCGCTGCTTCGCGGCGTGGATAAACTGTACATGTTTGTTATCTGGCGAACATGACGTATGACTGCTTTGGGGAGCGTATTTAGTGTGGCTAAATTGCTAATCATTTTCACTATTCGTCGTCGTCATCATCATCACCACTATTTAGGGTTTTGTGGGGGGTTTTCGTTGTTTTTCCATTTTTAAACGTCTGTGTCTTCAATTTGGTTCACTAAGTTCATGGCACATGCAAAAAAAGAAGTTTTTTTTTTTTTTAATCTTTTTTAAGGCCGTGGTTGGATTTTTGGGCGGAAGTGGTGGATTCACGTTTCTTTTTCCACAATTCCACCCCACATACGTTTTGACTCCAATTCAAACACAACCTTATTTCTAGTGCAATAATATGGTCATATGTGGAATTCAAGGTAGTTGGGCCATTATATTTAGGACCCATTGCTTGGACTGACAAGCGTGAGAACGCTGATTCAAGTCTGAGAGTGGCCACTTTGTGAAAAAAAATGCCAAAGATTTGGTCTGTATTCCGCCCAACCCTCCAACCCCAGATAGCTGAGACCAACACTGGGTGATGACTTTTAGTTGGGCAACTATATTTAGCATCTATTGCTAGTAGGAAGGAACAAGCTTTGCCTTTAATCTTGTGCTTGATTTTTCTGTTTCATGCTGAAAATTGAGAGTTTTTTTACTAAATTCACCCAGAACAAAAACATTAGCGATATCTGTCTTGGTGTTTTCATGCAATTGACATCTAAAACAAAATCATATTGTTTTGCTGACATTGCAGTTTTTTTTTTTCTGTTTTGAAAAATAAAATGATTTGTATTGATGAACACCCTTCTAATGGAAGGACTTTGCAGTACTGGCATGTTAGGTTCTTTATTTAGGTCAAACCTTGCCATTTTTTCTAATTATGGTTTTATTTCTTTGAATTTATGTTGTAACAGGTATTCAAAGAACATGTCCCAATACCAAGGGGATGATATGGAATACATGGGGGATGATTATGAAATGGCAGATGTAGATGATGACATGGATCAAGAATTCCATGGCAGGGGAATGGGTGACTCAGAGTCAGACGATGATGAATACGACCACTTGGTTCGTTTTTTTCCCTGCTTACTATTTTTTTTTCGTTTTTTGATCAATAACTGGAATTCATTAGATTAAAAGAATTTAGTTAGAGCTCTCCAGAGAGAGATAAACAGGCTTAACTCTCTCTAGGAAGATAATAAAGAAGGAAAAAGTTACAGAACAGTCCAAAACATTTGATCCCTTCCCACCCCCTGCTTTGCCAAAGCATCAGCAAATGCATTTGCTGTTCTCTTGACCCACTGAAACTTGATTTCTAGTCCTCTAGTTAGCTATTTAATCTCCCTCATCACATTAGCAAATTTCCAAAGTCCACTACCTTCTTGTAACCAACTTAAGACCAGCTTTGAGTCCCCTTCAATGGCTAACTTTTGTATATGCAGTTCCTTAGACTTCCTTATACCCTCGAGTACTGCTTAGACCCCACAGCTTTAAGAGAGTCTCCAACCCTAATGAGACCTGAATACAAAGCAAGCACCTTCCCATCCTCATCTCTAAAAACCCCTCCTACACCTGATGGACTTAGATTTCCCTCACTACTTCTATCAAAGTTTAGCTTTATAAGTCTACATCCTGGTGGTGACCACATAGGACAAACTAAAGAGTGGGCATGAGTAATTTGCCACCTCCAGCCAGCTATTCAGCAACATATCCATAGAAATATCAACAAATAGGTCCAAGGATTTCAGCCAGTGTACCACCCTCACTGTTACTACTTCAATAAGGCTTTGTTTACTTTTTTCAACTTCAGAAAAAATTCTGGTGTTCCTTTCCCCCCAAAGAGTCCAGCAAACAGCAGCCCTCACACATCACCAGAAAAGAAAGTACTGTTGGTCTATGTTTTGGTTGATCTGTGGCATAGTTCTTTCCCATTTGTTGTTCTAATCTCTAATTTGGCTTGGGCCATCTTTCATGCAAAAATTTTCTGTTCCACTTGATTTTCATTTTTCTTAATGAAATAAATGCTTAACGGCTATGATTCATAAGAAAAAAGCTTAAGGGATAATGAGCTATGATTATATTGATAAAAAAAAAATAATGAGCTATGATTATTTGTTCTGTGTAGAATGCCAAGGTGATGGACACTTCAGCTGCACAAGCAAGGAGAGGCATAGATATCCAAGGAATTCCTTGGGAGCGGCTAAACATCACAAGAGAGAAGTACAGACAGACTAGATTAGAACAGTATAAGAACTATGAAAATGTTCCTCAATCTGGGGTGGGGTCAGAGAAGGTAAGAATGCCCTTGTCATCTTGGTGGTAGTGGTGATTTCTGTCTGTTTTTCCTTTCTTACCCTTATCTTATTTAACTAGGAATGCAAACCTACAAAGAAAGGTGGCATGTATTATGAGTTCCGGCGCAATACAAGATCTGTGAAGTCAACAATCCTTCATTTCCAGGTAAGCTGATTTAAGTTTGCGTAATTTTACCTTTGAATTGCACTTTTCTTTAACAGTTTATTTATTTAATAAGATTTTCTATCTGTTTTCTATTAGAGTAATCCAATAAGATGGTAATAGTATTAGAGAAGTTTTTAAAAGATTTTTGCCTTGAGGCAGTATTAGGCTTAAGCCTTGTTAGAAAAGTACCTCCTGATGTACATGCATCAATTCCATGCTCATGAGGCAACTATGCTATTGAGAATTTAGGATGTGTTTGCCCTTGTTTAAAACAGGTATTTGAGGGGAAGAGATATTACTTCTCTTTCTTGGAGAAGTTCCTAAAGCACACTGCTCACATTTTTTCTCTTAAGATTTCTTCTTTGATTATGAAAGATTTAATTCTATGAGTTTCAAGCCTCTAAATATCATAATGCAGTTTAGTTACTGCAAAGACAGCAACTCATGGTATGGTGCTGCTAACATGGCAAGTTACTCGATTAATCTGATGGAAATCATGATAGGAGGGTTTTCGGATACACAGGACAATTCAGTGGACACTAGAAAGAGGGTTTGCATGTGGAACCCATTCTCACTCTGCCAAGGGTGCCTCTTTCCTTGTCAGTGGATAAAGTTTTCTGTAGATTTTCAATGGGGTTTTGAAAGTAAGCCTACGGTTCTGTTTTCCAAATTTACTTACTGCTGAAAACAAGGCAATGGCGGCAAGATATGCTCGGAGATCATGCACGAGGTGGAAGTGTCTGAAGACATTATTGCGTCTAGTGTTTCATGTAGCTAAAGTTGGTCTGTTGATGCTGCTTGAAGAATTGGTGGGTATTAGCATCAATCTAATCTTGATAGAGACTCTTTTGGYGGTGCAGTCAGAGGGTTCATCTTTTCTTTTCTTTTCATTCATTCATTTTTTTTTGCTATTTTTTGAGGGAGGTTGCATTGAGGTTGTTGGGGGTTGGGGTCCATGTGTGCTGTATCTGACT